AAAATACCAACAAAATCCTTCATATTTTAGACCCCTTCCTCCCTTCCTCCAAATCTATTTCAGTACTTATCAACCAACCCAAAAAAAAACATCACAATAAGTCTCGAGGATGGAGTAAGGAATTCATGTGCGTCTAAACTAGGCAGGTGCCCAAAGAGCTCAAGTTAAAGTCACTAGATTGGGGGAAAAGGTTAGAAGAAAAAAAATTCAGAAAATTTTCGGACTTTTGTCTAGAGCATCTACCCTTGTATAGTAAAATTTAAAATCAATATAATGACATGTTTCTTAATCCGCACAATGTGGTTTTATTTAGTAACATATTCCATAAGAAACTTAAGATTTACACTAACAAAAGATATATCATATAACAAAGTCAACAAATAAATACCATAAACATCTTAAATGGAAGCATGGAAGTAATATTTTGAAGAAACAAAGCAAATAATAAGGTTCAATTGGAAACGGCAAAGGAATGTCATGTCAAAGATATGAAAGATTTTGATGATCTCCTGTGTGATTGGAACTTATTGACCTCCTCTTAAGGGTTGGACTTTCATTTGGACTGGCAAAAGGGAGAATCCTTCTTTGGCTAGACTAGACTGATTTTTCTTTAATCTTGACTGAGAACTCTATATCCCTTGACAATTTAAAAAGGTATGGCTGGTCCACTTTCATATCATTATCCCATTGTGTTAGTACATGGCAACATTGAACAGAATGAAAAAATGTTTAGATTTGAGAAAATTTGGTTGTCATCAGAAGATTTTCATTATAATATTGCTTCGTGGTGGAGTTCAGCTCCTGTCAATAGTTCTGCTGCAAATAATTTTGTAAGTAAATTAAGGTTTCTAAGGAAAAGAATTAAGACTTGCACCCATCAGATTTTTTTAAAAGTATTAGAACATCTAAGAAAAGAATCTTGGATGATCTTTTAAAATTAGATGTGTTAAGAGGAGGAGAGACCAATGTCAAATAGTAAAAAAGCTACTCAGAGAAGCAATCTGTCCCAAGAGTTATATGATATTTTGCACCAGGAAAAGGTAATGTGGAAACAGAGATCTAAAGTCCACTAGTTGAAAGAGGGGGATCATAACACATCCTACTTCTATAGAATTGCAAATGTAAAACAGAGAGCAAACAAAATATCTTCAGTTAAGGTAAATGGAGTTGACATCACTTCTGATAGTAGGATAGTTGATGCTAGATAGTAGGATAGTTGATGCTTTCTACCAGCATTATAAGAAAATTTTTGGACAGAATATCAAACATAGATATCAAGCTGATTGGGAGCTCTTATTTCCTCCTGTTGAATAAGACGTAGAAAATCTAGAGGTTCCTTTTTCATTGGAAGAAATAAAATCTGCAATTTTTGACATGGATAGAGGCAAATCACAAGGTTCAGATAGTTTCACCTTTATTTTTTCAAGAATTTTGGAAAATTATTTGTCATGATTCACTTAGATTGTTTGAGGAGTTTTTTTAGGGGAAACTAGAAACCAATAGATTGAATTATGCTATCATCCCTAAAAAAAGAGTCAGCTTTGGGGACTGGTGACTACATGCCGATTGGCCTGCTTAATGGTATATAAAAAATAATCACAAAGGTTTTGACAAATAGATTAAGTAATAAGCTTGCTATTCTTGCCGACCCTGTTCAATAAGGTTTTATATTAAGAAGGCATTTGTTTGATGGGGTTGCTGCTGCTCAGAAGATTATATCTGACTTTTTCTAAAATGAAAATAAGAGTGGAGTATTACTTAAGTTGGATTTTACTAAGGCCTATGACAAATTGAACTGGAATTTTATTCTAGATGTTTTACAGGCTAAGGTTTTGAGGATAAATGGTTAAATTGGATTTCATCTTGTCTTCAAGGGGGTTTCTGCTATTACACATAATGATAATAAACTTGGAAACTAGATTGTTTCAAAAAGAGGGGATGAGACAGGGAGACCCTTTATCCTTCTTTGTGTTGGCAGCTGATGCTTTAACCAGGAAATTGTAGTTGGCAGAAGAAGCTAACCTATTGCATGATATTACTCTGATCATTTCAGTCTGAAGGTTCTCTGCCTCTAATATGCAGATAATATATTGATCTTTTGTCAATCAGAGCCACAACAACTAACTGTCCTTAAGCTTCTTCTATATGAATATGAATTAGCTTCTAGATTGCAAATTAATTTCTCTAAGAGTGTTCTCATTGCCCTTGAACGTAATCCTCTTTCTCAAAATTAGTTAGCTAGTATGATGAATTGTGTGAGTAATGAATTCCATATTAACTACTTGGGAGTCTCTCTAAGGCTCAACAAACTTCACAAGGATTGGCCCCCATGCTATTACCATTATCACTTCAGAAAAGCAAAACTTTGTCTAGAGGAAGGAGACAAATTTTACTAAATTCAATATTATCCTCCATGCCATTATTATGGTCATCTTTCTTTATGTTTCCTATGTAGGTTAGTGAGAGAATTGATAAAGTTAGAAGGAGGTTCCTATCGAATGGATCCTTGGACAATAAATTAGCCTCAAATCTTATAAGCTGGGAGACTATGTGTAGGCCAAAGTCTTTAGGAGCCTTAGGAGTGTTGAATTTAAGGATAATGAACAAGGCTTCTACTAGGAAAGTGGAGTAGTGAAATTTTCCATAAAAAAACAAATCTGATTATGAATTTGCAAGGAAAAAAATTTGGAGATGGCTTGGTAATAATAATATCTTATGGAAGAATATCATTTTGAGAAAGGATTATGTTTTTGATAATGGACTCCAATTGAAGAGTTCTGTTAAAGTTTCATGGTTCTGAAAATGAGTTTTTAAGATTTTTGATGTTTTTTCTTGAGTACCTTTTGTGCATTTGGGTGAGGGAAATAAAACTTATTTTTTGTTAGATTTTTAGACGGATAATTTTCAGTATAGCTTCATCTTTTCCTGAGTTGTTTCACCTGGCTCGATGTCCTTTTGCTATAGTTAAATCACAAAAAATTATTTGTGGGATCTAATTGGAGGTGGAACATACAATTTACAAGACAGCTAACCGAGCATTTAGTATTTCAATATTTGGCTTTGATGAAAGTTTTATGTTATTTATATACCTTTACAGGGGGCTGCTAATATAACCTAGAAATCAGACTCCAAAGGATAATTTTTTACCAGATCTTATCATCTTTTCCTAATGGATGATTGTGTGGGAGTTCCATAAACTGATATTTGGAGTGTTAGAGCTCCTTTGAAGGTTTAAATATTTTTATGGATTGCTCTCTTAGGGAAATTGATTGCCAAAGATAGACTCTTTATCAAGGAGATTGTTATTGATCCTCTCTGTGTTATGTGGGAGAGATAGTGAAACTCATACTCACATATTTCTTAAATGCAATTATATACAGTCCAACGTTTAAAAAAGCAGAAGCTCAAAGTGAAGCGCCGGACCCTTTGATGAAGCAAGGCGTAAGCTTCAAAGTAAAAAAGCGTAAGCTTTATGAGTTTAAATATTTTAATTTTAAATTTGTAAAAATTATGAACATAAAATATATAGTGGCGTAATAATTACAAATATATATATATTCATTTCCTAATTAGTAAATAAAAACTAAATATGTGAAGTATAGAAATGAATTATAATAAACTAACATATATATTTTCTTTACACTCACATAGTCACATATTGAAAATATATAGGAGCATTTTAATGTTAGTCAAAGATCCTTTTATGTCCTACTATTTAGTCCTAAGCGCGTGCTTCAAAATAAAAAAAGCGCTTTATGAAGCGCGAAGCGCACACTTTAATTATGCTTTAAGCAATGGGGCATAAACTTCAAGGGTTAAATAGCTTCACTACTGAGTTTCAAATTGTTTACCCTTCAATAAGTTGTGAAGCGAGTTTCAAAGCGAGTTTCAAAAAAGCTTTTTCAAACATTGAAACAATCACTATGTAATTCACTTTGCCATAAATTTGACATTACCCGGTTTCCAAATGATAAATTTGTTGTGTGGGTTCAATCGAGGAAATTTGTGTTGAAAGGAGAAAGTAGAAAAGCGTTGGACTCATATCTAAGTGCTCTTTTCTGCTGCATTTAGGGGAATATAATAGAAGTTTGCTCTAAACACAAACACAAGAACTCTTTGGAGATTTGGGGTTCTATCACTCATTTCGCTTTATTTTGGTCAGGACTATCCTCTAATGGGCTCCTTGCTGATGTAAATATTGCTGATCGTGGAGGTGCAGATGCTAAAGCTTTAGGAGTTCAAATTTAGAGGAGGGACGCCGGTAAAGAGATCGGATGTCCTATTTTGCTAGACTGATGATAGTTGAAGATAATGTACTTTTTGGTGTGTTTTGTTGTCTATAAGTAGAATGAACAATAGTTGTGAATAGCTCGTGACTGGGGGGTTTATGTTGTTGCTGTAGATACAGATATTATGATGACAGAGGGGTACACTCCTAGGTTGGATGTGTACTCCTTTATATGTAACCAACCTTTTTGAGTGATAGTAGTGGTTGAGATCTCATTCTTTCTAAGGTGTCACCCTTTCTTCTCAAAAAAAAAGGAAAAAGAAAAAAAGTTAATTTAATAATATATAGGGTTAAGTGCAGATGGACCCCCCTTAGCACACCCAATTGTAGATAAACACCTTGTAGTTCTAATTGTGTGAATAGACCCCGAATGATTTTTTGTAGAGGCTAATAGACACTCCGTAGTTCTATTGGTGTGTATAGACCACAAATGCTAATTTTTTACTCTTAAAAGAGTTTTAAAAAATAGGACATGTTTTTAACTACAGGGGGTTTATCCACACTTGGACAAATAGTACATCTATCAGCACAATTTTAACTACAGGGGGTCTATCCGCAATTAACCCCAATATATAACATGTTTTTATGTGTATGCATGTATATGTTATGCAGCTTATGTCTGCCAGAATTTAAAGTTCATATGAAACAAGCAAACTCCATTCATCATTATCTGCATACTCTAAAAGTAAATTACTTGAGGACAAGAAAGCATGTGGCCTTAAAGCCTTTCACCTATGCACCAAGTGGCCACATTGCATTCTACTTCTATCCCCATTCAATGACCACTCGACTTTACAAGCATTCCAGAAGCATCTAAATTTGACCTCTATCCCCATTCATTCCAACAACAAGATTTACATCTACAAGCATTCTAGAGCATGTAGATCTTGACAAAGAAAGATGATCAAAGAAGATCACCCAAAAGTTAATCCACCATGCATATTCAAAAACGTAGTGCAAGCAGTTTTCGGGTTTATCAATGTACTGTATACATACATGCATGTGAATGTTACTTTATGTGGGTAATCATCCCAAAGAAATTTCTGAATAAACATCTTACATCTGCATCGAGGTTATATTGACCTTGATGCATACACCAGGATTTATATGATTTCTGGTTTCTGGGCATTGAAACAATTTACAATTAGCTTCATTTAGTAAAATTAAAAATGTTATAAATAAAATCATTAGATGCTGCATTTCTAGAGTGAGGCAGAAAAGCATCATAACAGAACCAAACTAGATATATGTATATCCGAAAAAGTGGAATATAGATAGCGAAGGAATCAGGATACCTGGAAATGTGGCAAAAATACCAACTTAATGTACGTGTCAACTCTTAATGAGCTAGTAGTCATGTTTCGAAGTTCTCAGATGGTCAGATCCAGAGAAGACTTTTCTGTAGGATATCATCATCTCCTGAGTACAAACATATTTATAATCAGCAATGTGATCTTAAGAGCATAATCGATATTGTCATGTTACATGTTTAGTTTCAGTTAGCAACAGTTAAAAGTGTTCTGCATAACCTTGAAGAACACTACAGACAACAAACCAATGCAAGAATGAAGCAATTAGAGAGAACAAGTCTGTGTAAGTTACATATAAATTTGAGCTCAGCATTTGAGTTTGTGATTGAGCAAGAGCAATATAGATCCAACATAAAGGGAAAAAGATCCATTTAGTTGCGAACTTGCAATTGCTACCAAATGTGACAATAATGTCCCCTCATGAAAAAGGTGGAATTGGTAATGTTCACAGAGAGCTTGCTTTGATGGCAGGACTAATAGGTTCAAGTCAGGTTAGTGCAGTGGACCGGGGCTCATCCATTTTGTTAGTGGAAAAAAAGGGTTTTTTCGATATACGTCCTTTAAATCTTCCATTTTTTGAAATAGTTCCTCAAATCATTAAATTTACTATTAGGTCCCTCAATTCTTTAGTTATTTTGAAATTAGTCCCTCAAATCATTGAAATTGCTATAAGGTCCCCCAATTCTTAAGTTATTTTGAAATAAATAAGAGTAGAAGAAGCAATTGGAGGGAAATTAATCCCTAAAGTCATCGGAATTTCTATTTGTCCCTTGATTCCCATAAGTTGTTTCAAATTATCCCCTTCAATTGTTAGGTAGACTACTGATTTGAGGGATTAATTTCAAAATAACTGAAGAATTGAGGGACTTAATAGAAATTTCAATGATCTGAGAGACTAATTTCAAATTAAGAAATATTTAAGGCACTAATGTAGAGAAAACCGAAAAAAAAGATAATAATGAATAAAAATATGTAAGAGCAATCTGTATGTCTATGAAGTTGATCATAGGATATCAAGGTGCTGATTAATAATGATAAAGATAGTAAGACAAATAGGCAGAATATCGTACTTACCGTAGCACCAAGGAGCTCAATGCTGGTCTTTTGACACCAAAAGACTGACGTCAGATTGGAAGATGCAAGTTCTGGGATCTCTCTGAACACCGAGTTAAGTTTTTAGACCAAACCCATAAAGATGCGACAATGGTTGCTGATAAGGGTCAAAATGTAACCAATGAAATTTCTATCGAGACGCAACCTTCAAGCTATGAAGCTTTGCCAACAAGGTTAGTAAAGCATCCGCCGTTATTCCTTTATCTAGCATGTCATTAAGCAGAACTGCAGCTTTATTTTTCTCCCCTACAGTAATGTACCCATTTATCAAAGCAGTGTATGGAAAGGCATCAGGTCTCAAACCTGTTTTAATCATCTCATCGAAGTGTTCTTGGGCTCCCTGAATATTATTCACCTTAGCAAACCCATCAATTAAAACTGTGTAGAAAAAAACATCAGGCTCAAGACCCTGATTTCTTAACTCATCCATAATTTTCAAAGAACAGCCTCTAAATTTCTCCTTTCTGGTCTCCACATCTATAATTGCCTTATCTTTGTTCAAGATGTCTTTCAAATAACCATCCAACATAACTGTCCATGTAGTCACATCAGGTTCCATTCCTTTACGTTGCATCTCGATGAACAATTCACAAGCCTCTCGCCTGCGGTGAACCTTCCAATAACCATTCATCAATGTAGTATACAAAACAACATCAGTCGAAAGACCACGTTTAACCAAATCCTCAAACAAAGCATGAGCTTTTTCCATATCTTTAATGTTACAATAGCCAGCAATGATCTGGTTATAAGAAATCTCATCAGGACTAAAATTCATCTCTAACATTGTCTTCAACACCACAGAAGCATTTTCAACATTCCCCTCCTTACAAAGCTCATTAATCAGCTTAGAAAAAACTACTTTGCTCCTCTTATTAGATGCATCATTCTCATCCACCAAATTCCCTTGCTTTAACAACTTGTGAAAGAGTCTGTAAGCTTTTTTTGTACAACCCAATAGCAGGTACCCAGAAATCATAGCACTGTAAAGAGTCAAACATTGATGACGATCGTTCTGCTCAAGAATGTCATATAAAATCTCTGCGTCCTTTAGCTTGTCTCCCCTACAAAGATTCTCAATATAATTGCCATAAAAGACGGCATCAGTCTCCAAGCCTATATCCCCCATAAAACTTATAAGGTCGAATGCCTCCTTAAGAAAACCATTCCGACAAAACCCACCACCTAGTATAGTACATGTAATAAGATCAGGCTCCACATTCTTTTCCACCATATCAGAAAACACCTTCTGAGCATTATACATTTCATTCAAATTGCAGTAACCACCAATCAAGCTAGTAAAAAGTTTTTTATCTTGTGCCAACCCTAAAACTTTCATTTCCTCAAACAATTCCATTGCATCCCTCATGTTCTTCATCTTGCAATGGGCTTTAATAGCAATGCTGTAAAGAACCTCGTCAATGTGACGCCCTGATGCCTTCAATTTCTGAAACTCATCCAGTGCTTCCGCATTCATGTTCATCTCGCACAGTAAATTGAGGATAAATCCCTTGATGTAATGATTCGTCTTGAGACCCTTAAGTTCCATTTCCTCATGTAGATGTAAAGCTCTTGATAAGTTTCTTTCATCACAATAACCTTTAATGAGACACCCATAACTATCTTCATTTGGGGTTACACGATTTAATACCATGTGCTCCAAAACCTCCTCTGCTTCTTGCAATTTTTTCTCTTTACACAAACCATCGATTACTACATTATAAGCGAGAGCATTAAAGAAAACATCTTGGCTTGAGATTTGCTTAAGAAGAATTAATCCCGAGTCTGATCTGCCAATGTCACACAACCCCATTATATAGGTAGTGTACACGAATGAATCGGGTTTCACACCAGTCTCATTCATTCTACCCCAAACCTGAAATGCTTCTTCAAGCTTCTTCTCTCTGCATAAAGCTTTCATCATAATGGTAAGCATGTAAACATCCGGGCTCACCCCAAATCTCTTCATATTATCAAAAACTACCTTTACTATTGCCAAATCATAATTTTCAGCCACGATGTTGAGAAGAAAATTGCAAGTCCTCATTGATGGAACAAAACCAAGATTACCCAATTCATAAAACACATCAACAGCCATCTCTATCCTGTCACAAACGGCATAGGCCCTGATAAGTGAATCAGACACAAGGTTTATCCAATGTGGAACGTGCTTCCCTTGAGCAAGAAAACCAAATAGAGCTGAAAGCTCAAAACCAAACTCCCCATTCGCCAAGATCACATCAGAGAACAAAGAATCCAGCTTTCTGCGAAAGCCTGAACGGCAAAGAATGCTGATGATCACTGAATAAGTCGATAAATCATGCTGGAATCCAAATGCTTGGCAATCTCTAAACAGGGAGTAGGCAAGATGGGGTTTTCTCCAATAGCTTGCTAAAACTTGGGCAACTTTAGCAGAAGACAATTTAGATAAATTTTGAGTGATGGGCTGAGGAGTTGTGATTGGTTCAGTTAAAGAGGGAATAGAAGCCGCAGCAGTGGAGATTGATGGGTTTCGATTGAGAAAGTGAAGGATTTTGCGAAATGGGAGTGACCCATTAAAGATTTGCTCAGTTTTTTGGTAGCGGATCATTGGTTTTGACTCATCTAAGGGAATTTAACGGCTTTCTCGATTGAAAAAACAATGGAAAGAAATTAGTACTGAGATGAGATTGGGCCCAGCTGACCTCAGATGAGGGTAGTGACATCGGCGACGGATGAACTGGCGGCGGCGGAATGCGGTGAGGTTTCTCGAAGTGGCTAAAACCCTACCATGATTTGAGAATGAGAGGCGGAGAGAGAGAGAGAGAGAAAGAGAGCGTTTTGCGAAGGAGACCGTAGGGTTGAGAGAAATTGGATCGGGTTTCGTCATGTGCCCGCATCCGGTAGTAAATCCGACTTGTTTATTGGCTTCTTTTACATATTGGTCCCTTACATATTTCATGATTTTATGTTAGGCCTGTAGGCTGTCTAAAAATCACAATAGATAGTTGATCCCCCATCAAACACCAATGATGAAAGTTACAATCTGACGACTTCCAGAATGCTACAATTTGAGGACTTTCACGTAGAAGGTTACAATCTGACGACCTTCACAACAACTAATGAAAGCCCCAATTCAACAGCATTCACAATCAACATCGGGAGTTACAATCTGACGACTCTCATATTTTCAAGGAGCCAAGACAAAGATTACAAGAGGACGATATGTGCAAAGCTCTAGCAAAAGAGACTACAAATTGACGGTCTCTTCATATTAGAATGCAGATATCTCTCAAACCGTAAGGAATTTGGACGGAGGAAGCAAACCTAAGCCTTCGGCTAGGTTCGGATGGCCCCGTCTCGTCGAGATAGCCGATTTTCATATATAATTCGTCCAATTCCGACTTACGGTTTGAAAGTTATGACCTGTTCTTCGCAGCAAATTATGTTCTGAAGTCCGTCTGCAAGACCGGACTTCGTCAGAACATTGGACTTAGCTTGAAGCTCGCCACATTAGACTTAGCCTGAAGCTCGCCAAGCCCGCCTAAGGTTCGCCTCTGCATTACAGAGTCAAAGCGCACAGGTCGAACCAGCGTTATAACCTCAAAACGCAGAGGTTATCCTCGTGATATAACATCAAAACGCAGAGTTACGACCCAACTGTGCGTTTTCAGCCTAAAACAGGCCCAACTCTGCGTTTTCAGCCTAAAACGCAGAGTTCGTCTCTAAAACAGCACGACCTATGCTTTTTCAGCCTTTAAACAGGCTCAACTGTGCGTTTTCAGACCTAACTCTGCGTTTCAGGTCCAGAAATGCACAGTTCGGGCCCAGAACGCTGTTTTCAGCGTTTTGACTCGTTCAAAACACTAACAGAACGGTTTCAAAACCGTTTTCCCCACGATTTAGGGAGCTGTTTAAGAGGGGGCGGTTATACCCCACTCAGCCCATTAAGGAGCAGATTAAGGGGATAGTTACCACCCTTAATCCCTTATAAATAGTGGAAAACTCAACTGAGTTCGGGTCTCTTGGATCCTTCTTTTTTGGGCAGCAAAGAAGAGATCTTCGGCTAGCTTCAGATCGGATTTGGTCTCATCAACAGAGGGAGATTCGGTCAAGAGCAAGCTTGGTAGCAAAGAAGAAGAGCCTTCATCCTTCGGCTGGGATTTTGGAGATCGACAACAGGAGCATTCCCTTGGCTGATTAACCGAACTTTCGGTTTAAATCAACTCTTCCATAGAGTTTCAAACTCGTTCAGAGTTATCAACTCGATCAGAGTTCAAAACTTGCTCCGCAAGTTCTTCTAAAACTCGCTCTGAGTTATCAACTCATTAAGAGTTATTTTCAAACTTGCTTTGCAAGTTCTCCACAGCATCAAATCGTGAGGAGAAGACTACGTTCCAGTGAATCAAGACGGTCGGATCGTCAACGGAGAGCAAGTTCGACACAATCAATCGAAGGAGGCACTCCATCGCCACCGTGAAGAACCCAATTTTAAACAAAGGGGAGAGTCAAATTCGTTCTCCTCTCTTTTGTAATCGGAATCCAAATTGTAATTGATTTTGAGAGAAATACAAATCAAATTTTTCTTTCATTGTCTTTTTACTGCAAATTTCCAACGAACAAAAGATGGCGACTCTGCTGGGGACTAGCTTCTCTAACGAAGAAGTGGTGGCGCAATCCGAAGTTCATCTCACTGGAACGACCGTTGAAACCCTGATTATCGAGTTTGATCAAGCCAAGTACGAGGAGGCCCTCTCCTCCGGATCCCTTAGCCCCAAGGCTATGCGCAAGATCGACAAAGTTTCCGAGGAGACTAAAGCTCCAGTTGTAGCCACCTCATCTAAAGACTATCTCCCATGGGGGTTGCACTGTTTATACAGTCCCCTCTCTAAAGGAGAAGACTCGACTTCGGCACAACTCCGAAAAAGCTGATTCTCCAATCAACGCGAACTCCGCGTTTGTGAGCCTCAACATGAGCTCTGCATAAGCCAAACTAAACGCAACCCTCAGGTGTGCGTTTTCCAGATAGAACGCAGCCTTCAGAGGTGTGTTCCAACATCTAAACGCAGACATCAAACCTGCGTTGATCTGGCTGAACGCAACTCTCAGGAGTGCGTTTCACAAACTGAACGTAACTCTCAGGAGTGCGTTCTAATATTTAAACGCAGAAATCAAACCTGTGTTGATCTGGCTGAACGAAACTCTCATGAGTGCGTCCCAGAACCAAAACGCAACCCTCCGGAGTGCGTGCCACAAACTGAACGCAACTCTCAAGAGTGCATTTCAGAATCCGAACGCAGATCGCAGGACTGCGTTTCATTAGCAAAACGCAGACTTTGGTCTTGCGTTAATCAAGCTAAACACGACCCTCGCGTTCCTTCTTTGGAATACGATGTGATTCGTCGTATTCAAAATGATCAACATGGATTTAAAATTCATGTTTACCAAGAACCAGTCCCATCCTTTAACGGACAGGGGGGTCCATCTTTACCCTCACGCTCCGTGAGAGGTTCATCCCAAGTCTCTGACTTGCGGGAATTGCTATCGATGTTCAAACAACCGACGAATGTCGTTTTGCTCAATAATCGACGACATCCTCACAGGAAGAAGACTTTAGAGGATGAATACCTTGGAGTCACTTCTAACATGGTTGGTAGAGGGAGATCATCAACCCTTAGTTCTGACGAGTCAGAGACAGATCGTTCTCCAAGTGTCAGAGAAATCGCAAACGAGTTTGAAGGAGTCTACCAACGCACTCGGACGCGAACAGGAGCCATTCCCCCTGTCAACTATCGGAGTTTAGCCAGAGGAACTAATTCCGATGACGAACACTCAGCCATTGCGGAGTCCCAATCATCAAGCTCTTTCGTTGGGCATGAGAGCTTCGCCCACATGGCAGAACATTCTGAAAATCTTTCAAAGAGACTTGATGAACAGGAAGCCATGCTCAAATCTCAGCAGGAGGCCATCAATGAACTCATGGCCATGTTGACTCAAATCGTCGCAAACAAGGCCAAATCTCAGAAGACATATTCGCCACCCAGGCAAGAATCTTCCCGGAGAGGAAAAACGTCTTCATCCCGACCTCACACAAGCAAAGGGAAGGGAAAAGTGGTTGATGATGCGGCTTCTGACCAAGAAGCCCATAGCCTGGAATCTTCCTCTGATGAAGGAAGAGAGACTGAGAACGAGCAGAATCTTCAGTCTGCCAAAATGGAAGAATTGGAAGCCCGCCTCAAAGCCATTGCTAACAGAAGCGAGCTCCAAGATGAGGGAGTTATCAGGCCCTATCCTGCCGAATGGGATGCAGCCCCTTATCCTCCAAAGTTCGAGGTCCCAACGCTACAAACTTTTGACGGCACGGGATCACCGAACCAACATATTTATCATTTCAAGTCACAGACTGGAAATGTAATATCAAACGATGTCATACTGGTTCGATTGTTCATTGGCACCCTCAAGGGAATTACCTTTGAATGGTTCAGGAAACTACCTGCGGGCTGTATCCAAAAGTGGACGGATCTAGAAAGACTCTTCCTGTCAAGATTCTTTGAAGAGGATACAGAAGTCTCCATCCATACCCTTCTCGCTACTAAGCAGAAGAAGAGGGAATCAGTCAAAGCCTTCGTTAAAAGGTTTCGAAGTATGACTCTGCAATGTCCGTCAGGTATGACACAGTCTACCTTAGTAGAGACCTGTCGACACAACTTGCAAACCGACCTCCTAGCCCGAATAGGAGTTGCAGAATGTCGTTCTTGGAGACAACTAATCTCTCAAGGTGAGCAAGCTCAAAAAATTATTGCCAAGATCAAAGCTGAAGAACAAAGTAGGCAGGATCAGCCCGAGCAATCAGACCAAGCCCAATCTTCTCCTGAGCAACCGGACCAGGCTCACTCTTCCCAGTCAGAAGGGAAAGATACTACGGCCACTGAAGTCAATCCTCTTTAGTAGGATGGCGGGTCCAACAACTATCACGTTAACAGTTACCTCTGATAGTCAAACTCGTTAGATAATGGCTCACTAGGCGATGTGTCATGTCTTCTCTTTTCCCCCTTTTGTACTTGTTCAAGACTGGGGGGTGGTTTATTTATAGTTCATTGGATTATGAATAATAAATTTCCTGAGTTGTCACGTTCAATAAGATACCTCTGTCAACCACAAAATCTACCACAAAACTATCACGTTAACAGTTACCTCTGATAGTCAAACTCATCAGATAATGGCCTACCTGGTGATGTGACTTTATTCCGACTTCATGGATAGTACCTCACTAGGTGATGTGCCTTGTCTACCTCTTTTTATTCCCTTGCTAAGTCTTAATCAAGACTGGGGGTCGATTACTTGAAATCCACTGGATTAAGAGTAACGAATCTTTCACATCGTCGAGTTAACATTACACTTCTGACGATCATAATCCCCATAGAGTATGCATTCAGTTTGCATCACTCCCAATTTGTCACGTTAACAATACACCTCTGACAAATTCACTTATCCAATCCTCTTCAATAGATGATAAGTCCCCAAAGTTGCTCCAATCGCAACACAAATTCTTATCACGTTAACAATACACCTCTGACAAAACCCACTTATCAATCCTCGTTAATAGGATGATAAGTCCCCAAAGTTGCTCCAATCGCAACACAAATCCTGTCACGTTAACACTACACCTCTGACAAAATCAACTTATCGACTCTCGTCAATAGAGCGATAAGTCCTCAAAATTGCCCGATCACAAATTCTTCCTTGTCACGTTAACATTACACCTCTGACAAAATCCGCTTATCGACTCTCTTCAATGGAGCGATAGGTCCACAAACCCGTCAAGTTAACACCACACCTCTGA